TCACTTCACAAAGTCGAATTAGAGTCAAGCCCAACAGGGCTTCCTTTCCACTTTGCCCCCGCGCTCGTACCTGGGCGCCTACAGCGCTAGGTGCAGGCGGCGGTCTGCAGCCCGTTGCTCAACCAACGGGCGCAAGTAAGTGACTCTCCCTCTCTCTCTCTCTCTCTCTCTCTCTCTCTCTCTCTCTCTCTCTCTCTCTCTCTCTCTCTCTCTCTCTCTCTCTCTCTCCACCCGGCGGTCGCGATCATCCGTCACAGAAAGGAAACCACCCAAGGCATATGCAGAGAGTCCCTCATAACCCAAGTACAAGGCCCCAAGCCCCTCACGGAATGTAGCCGCCTTATGGCGGCAGAGACATTCGATTTTGCCTGCCTACGACAACAACCCGTTCGTCGAAACGAACGGGTGCTCAGCAAAATCGTAAACAAAAAAAAAGGAAAAACTAAGGAATCTATGAGGAAAATAAAACACAACAAAAGAAAATCTGAACCAAATCTAAAAGAAGAAATCTAAGGACAAAAAAAAAATCTAAGAGAAAAGACAAACAAAAAAAAAACGAAACTTACCTCCTTGCAGAAACGGCCGCCCGTTTCGTCGGGCCCTGTCAAGTACACTGGGGCTGAAACGCCCCAGGCACTTCTTTGCGCGTCACGTGGCGCTTCAACCGTTTTTGTTTGTTTTTCTTTTTTTTTTGTTCTTTTTTTTTTTCTTCTGCCCCCAACGACTGCCATCTGACGCGCCGTTTCTCCTTGGTGGCCCCTAAAAAAAAACAAAGAAAAGAGAAAAAAGGAAAAACGACTTACCTTGCGATGACCAAACATCCTTTTTAAAGCCGGTTTTTGGGCGCTTACGCGTCCAGATACGGGCAGGTAAGCTTTCTTTCTTTTTTTATTTTTATTATTATTATTATATGTATATATATATACATATATATATATATTTTTTCTAGATTTATGTGTGTCATCCTTGCACAGGGGCCATGCTAATCTCGGCGCGACTAATTTCAGCCGCGCGAGCTCAAGGATCGCACGGCCGAAATTGGCCGCGCCTAACACCACGTTGCTGGCTGCTCCAAAAGGAGCCGGTCCAGAAGGATGGAACTTCTCAGATTCGATCCCGGTATCTGGCGGGTGACATTCGGCTGCTTGAACTTATTGGGCTAGCTCCTACCATGGTATAGGTAGGAGCAGCTCTTCTATAAGAAGAGCTTGCCCAATAGTTATTCATCGCGCCGGGGCTGTGCAGGCCCTGCCTGCCTATGGCCTCGCCAACCCTGCCTACCTGCCTGTCTGTGGCCCTGCCGGCCCCGCCGACTCACGGCCCTGCACGSTCAGTTGGCCGCGCGGCCTTGACATCGGCCTATCAACCCCGTGGCTYGGTGTCAAGCCCCGCGGCCCTAGAATTAAAACTCTTCTTCCTATTCCCCCTGCGTCGCGGCTTTATACCCGGCGCACACCCCTTTTTAGCCTACTTAGGTCCTGAATCGCNGGCCCTAGAATTAAAACTCTTCTTCCTATTCCCCCTGCGTCGCGGCTTTATACCCGGCGCACACCCCTTTTTAGCCTACTTAGGTCCTGAATCGCGTGGCTGTTAAGCACACTACTGCGGCCTCGTCGAGAACCGTAGACGACAGTGCCGACTCCCGCTGTCTTGAACGGATGTCGATGTCGTTACACGTCACCGAAGTCAAGTTTTAGGCCTTTCAATTATAGGGTTAGTCGGACTAATTTTGGCAACGTCAATCTCATCAAGTATTTCAATCCAAGCAAGGGTCGGGCAGTGTCTGACCTTGAAAAACCTGGGCAGAAACCCTTACAGGCGTTTCTGTTCTGACAAACTTCCCCGCCCCCATTAAGCGACGTCCCCGTCGCTTACCATAAGCGGTATAAGGGGAAGTTTTTATAAGACCTCAACAAATATATCATATAATCACAGTATATCTGGATATCCCCAGATTTTATGTACTTATATGTGATGAGCGACGTTCCCACCGTTCATCTTCCTTTCCTTTCATAATCTTTCAGACACTCTCTATGAAATACTCCGTGTAGACTTCGTTATCATCAATGAGGAGGGCTTACTTTCAAACCTTTAATAGACAACGGCTTACTTTCAAGCCTTTAATAGGCAACGGCTTACTTTCAAGCCTTTAATAGACAACGGCTTACTTTCAAACCTTTAGCACAGAGACTTACTTTCAAGCATTATGACCCTTTCGAACCTTCCTTCCGAAACACTTTCATTCAGTCACGAGTTGGAATGGGGCCAGAAATAACCTCTGGCAGGTCTTTCCCCGGAATGTGGAATCCACTATTGGCTTTACCCAACCTGAAGAATTACAATAATATTTTAGAAGAATGATCCCAGCATCATCCTACTGACGGTCACTCATGCTTCCTTTTGTCCCATATAGATGGGTCAGGCTTATCCCCCTGATACGATTCACTCCAGGCTATAACCTCTTGTCCAGGTCTCGTCAGGCTTAACCCCCTGTGGGTCTTCCGTGATACAGCACATACTGCCAAGAATTTAACCTGGGCTTCTCATGTTCGTGGGGGTGCATTTCTAACACCTCAGCATGTCTCTCGCTATCAGGAGTTTAATCCGGGCTCCCCACGAAATACAAGGGTACTCACACTATACTACAGCATGTGTCGGACCATCTCAGAGAGAAATCACCCTTTTCAAAAGTCTTTGTCCAGTCCGGCTAATTCTCACTCCAACTTAATTGTCATGCACGATTTATCTCTTACATGTCTCGTGAATGCGTCGAGAAGTGGTGTAATCCATAAAGGATAACATCTCGACGTCAAGCCCCGCTTTAGACTCGAGCCTTACCACTTTCCCTCCAATTCCAGTCTCATACATCTGTTAGTACCCTACCTGCAAGGTTGAACTACCCCTTCATTATGACCTAAGCTGATCAGACCCGGCCATAAAGTCGAGGCGACCCCATTCGCCACAAAATAAAAGGTGATAAGTTTTCCCCTCATGGCGAGCGGTGATCGTCACCCTCCCAAGCAAGGTTCCAACAAACATATTACCACCTTCCTCCCTTTCGACGATAGTGTAGCCAATCTCCTCGAAAGGAGAGATGACAACATCCAGCTATGGACCAGGAACAAAGTTCCGGCGCAGGCCTCACTACCGCCTACGGGGCTCACAATATTAGGATTCCTCACTGCATGACAATTAAAACAATACCAAGTCATAAGGCATGACGAGCAATCGAATCACATGTCTGACGAATAACCTGTGTTAATCCAGCCAGACATATGACCCAAGTACACATCATCTCCTCACAGAATTGTCACATTCATAACCACATACACGGAGTCCCATAAAAATTCCAGGTTTTTTTAGTCATTCTCATATGTGATGAACACTCCAACAATATAAGTATCCATCAGCTATTTCATAATACACTTCTTGCAATGAAGATTCAATCATGATAAAATTCCTTTGGTATCATAATCATCTTACAATCGTCCATGACAATAAGGCACAGATCCCTTATAACATTTTACCCAAAACAACAGGAGTCACAATCCCATTGATAATTTTTCAATCTCAATACTTTTATTAATACTTTACAACTTTCTTGGTTAGTCTAAGATAAAAGTCAGAATGGGCTAAGCCACAATACAAAAGCAAGAAGGATTACCAAAGTTGACGCCACCAATTAGCTCCGCTACCCTTTCTTCTTACTTAAAGTTTGCATTAAACTCTTGGAATGAACTTCCGTAGATGTGCACCTGATACCCAATTTCTACTCCAAGATCCATCAAACTCCTCTATTTCGTACGCCCCATGCTCTGTTTTCCTAGTGATCCGATATGGTCCCAACCACCGACTGTCTAATTTTCTGGACCACTGCTTTTCTAGCGACATATCATACAACAAGACGATGTCCCGGACTTCCAACGACTCTTTTCGTACCCGTGGCCTTTTGTCCCATCTTTCCTTGTCAGCCTGCCTGCTTTCAGAAGTAGAGGCAGCCGCATCCTCAATCCGTTCCTCAGTCGCCATGATCTGTCTTGCCCTTAACTCCAATAACTCTTCCGTCGAAAGTTTCGTTTTCACATCCTGTTTTTACCAAGTGGTCAGGAAACTCTCAATTGGAAAAGTCGCATGCCGTCCAAACCATAATGTGACGGGAGCATACCCGGTTGTTCGCTTGATGGTAACATTCTCAACAAAAAAGGTTGCCCTCAAATAAATCGGTCATCTTGATGGCTCCCTCTTGCACCATTTAGCCAACAAGTTAGACAAGGTGGCATGTCCTCGTTCCACCGGTGCATTGGCCTGGGGATGCGCCCTTGTCGTATAACTGAAACTTACCCCAAGCCTTCTCAAAAGCGTTTGCACTTCCTTTGCTCAAAACTCGCCTCCTCGATCCATAACAATCTCTTGAATAAATGGATAACGGAGATAATATTCCTCGATGCATTCTGCTAAGACTGACCCTGTACGTTCGCGAATGGCACGACCATCAACGAACCCAGTCAAATTGTCCCTAGCATCGAAGATATACTTGTACCTATTTATACCAGGTGGCATTACCAAGAGATCCAAATGCACCACCGCACCTGGTTCCGCCACATAACGCGGACTCAGGGGCTCGAGGTAGCGGATGTTAGACCTCTGCTGGCAAGGGAAGCAAAATTTACAAAAGTCAATCACCATCTTGCTCATCTCTTCCCAGAAATAGAGACGTTGGATCTTGTTCGGAGTAACCCGCGCAGATCTGTGTCCGCCGACTACTCCATCACGCAGAGCAGCAATCACATCTAACTGTCGAGAAGTTCCACATACCACCCTCTTCGGGACACCATCAGCAGCTTTCTTAAAGAGATGACCGTCACGAACAACGAATCCTTTGCTCTTCTCCCGCACAACCGGATCAACCTCGTTTTCATCCAATTCCCCATTCAACCACATGCATATCTTCTTATATCCCCCTTCGTACTCCTTTTCCTTAAACGCTTATTTGACCTCACTGCTCCCTTTCTCCGCATTCATTAACCTCAGGCGATCCTCATGAACCAACAAGTTCATGATATATGACATCCTTCTAACGGTCTGGAAAGCGACATCAGCCTGCATATGGCCCTGTTCAATCGTTAGCGGATCAAGCATAAGGTCGATGTCATCGGTCAAAGCCAACCTCATCATTTCTTCTGCAGTCTGCTCACCCCATGGATCCTCCTCAATGAAAGGTCCTTCCACCACGAGCTCTGAACGTACCTCGTGACAAGTGTGAGCATTCCATATTGATCTCCCACGTCGAGTAGCTGCATCAGTCAGGTAGGTAAGGGAGTTAATACTCAACCGCGACTCCTCTTCCTTCAGAAAGGCATCGACCGGAAATGATTCTTCCGCCTGATCCGACTCTGGGTCTCATTCAACCCGACTCAGCCCATCAACACGATTTTGACTCCCCGAAATCCGCTCAATCTTGAAGTCAAACATCCAAATATAAGTCAACCATCGTGCAATGGTGGGATCAGCAGTTGAATAATTCCTTAAGGATTGAGCCAATGCAGTCGGATCCACCCGCAGGATGAAGCGTCTACCAAACACATAATTCCGAAAGATACGGAAACAGTGAAGCACGGCCAAAGTCTCCTTCTTGAACTGGGAATAGTTCCTCTCTGTAATATTCAGAGTCCTGCTCTCAAATCTGAGAGGCCTTTCCTGCCCCTCGGCATCCTTCTGAATAAAGACTCCTCTTAGGGCTGTGGGCTCCGCATCAGTCTCAATAACAAAATGACGTTTTTCATCATCGTAAAAAAGGGGAACTCCAAGGATCAATCCGCCCTCACGAAACTCAGTCTTTATATCCTCCACGGCCTCTTGTTGCTTCGGAACCCATTCCCACTTCTGGCCTTTGCTCACTAGCTTTCGCAAGTGCTCCACTCTGGCAGCAAACTTGCGAATAAAGATGCGTCAAAACCCACAGGTTCCAAGGAAGCTTCGCACATCTGTGATCGACTTGAAGGGGGTCGGCCATTCCAAAATTTTATTAGTCTTCTTTGCATCCGGCCGGCAACCTTTCTCATCGCAAAGGAATCCCAAGATTACTGCTCTCTTCATACAATGTCGAGACTTAATCCCACTAGCCGTGAGGTTAAACTCCTTCAACCTCTTAAGAATTTTCACCACATCATTGATGTGCTCCCAAACGAAGCGGCGAATGTCCGGCAACACCTCCGCCGGGTCTTTCGTTCGAGGCCCTGGAATAGCCGAGTCGTCAATATACGGCGAAGTTATGTCCGGATAATAAGGCTGCATAACCCTCGTCATATATCTTTGAACAATGGCAATTGCATTCGTCCATCCCTGCGGCGCCACACACATATGGATCAATCCACGAGAACTGTGCATCGCCATTTTGGGTCGATCCGCAGTGTAAATGGGAAATTGATCATAACCTGAATATAAATCGATCAGGGTGATGATAGACCTTCCTGCACAAGACTCCGACAGTAGGTCCGCATGTGGGAATCCACCTGCATCTCGCACTGTCACCGAATTCAACTTCTGAAGGTCCTGAATCCACCGTAAGGTACCATTCGGCTTGATGAAACAGAACCATGGAGATGCATATGGCCCGTAAGAATAATCCGCAACTTTCATCCGGATCTTTCCAGCAAGATACGCAACCACTTTACGGTGATCCTCCGGATTCGGATAACGTGGCCCTCTCACGTTCCATGGCTCATGTGGTACAATATGAACTCTAATCATCGGGATTTTATCGACATCCAGTCTCCCTCGCTCATCATCATCAAACGCATAGGAGAGATGTTTTTCCCTCTATACATCGATGATATATCATTTTTCCTGCTCAGTAAGGAGGTCCTCCTCCCCAATGATCATACTTTTCACTCTTTCTTTGGTTAACCGACATGACCCTTTTTCACCTCTCTCTTTCATTTCTCTGATTCAATCGCGCTCCTCATGATAATAGACTTCCTCCTCCTGAGTGATCAGAACAGGTACCGGCTTCGCCTTCACGCCTACTTTCTTGTACTTACGTTTGGCGCTGGTGTCAAGCCTGCGTCCTCTAAAAAAGGACTCTGTCGGGTGGAGGGCAATTCCTGATCTTCTCCCTTATTTCCCTTCGACGGGGAGTAAACAAGGCGCATAGTTCCTGCGCTTCCTGTGTCCGTGATGATCTCCGTCAAGGCTTGTACCACATTTGGATCGATGGCCGCACGTATCGACACGAAATCGATCGCCTGCCCAATATCAGGCAGAGTCAGCGAGAACTCACGAACATTCAGCTCCTCCCCTAACGATTTCTTCTCCCTCCTCAACTTTTCTGACTCCGGGAAGGTATAGGATTTCGGGTTCAACCGGTTCCGCGAGCAATAGGGTCCAGTGTTCGCACACTTGACCACTTCGTAATAACCGCAAACAGGATTGCAAAGGATCACAAACCTGGTTCCATCATGCTCGTTAATGATGATGCTCTCCGATCGACATAGGAATGCGCTTCCCAGAAGCACCTCGTGTTCCACTCTAAGTAACACCTAGAAATACGAACGGACCTTAACTTTTCCGACGGTGACAAGAACGCCACTGGTTGTCCCGCAAAACGGGGTCGATCCGCTAGCCCCCACAAAAAATTCATAATCATCTTGGTTGATCTTCAACCGGCTTCAATAGCATGGCGTTCACGAATGATGTTCATCTCGGCTCCATCATCCACAAGTGTCGAGTACTCCTGCTGTCCAATCTGGACCTTCATATGGCCGGTTGATACACTTCGCCAATCCATCTTCGTCCCAGGCGGGGACCAGTTAGCCTCCAGCGGAATGACTTCGCCGAGCTTAACAGTCATGACTCTCTTGCGAGTCATCCGCTGTTTAAACTCTTCTCTAATCTTCGGCAATACTGCCAAAATTTCCCTCAGCGTGACCAAGTCGCGCTGACGTTCCAGAATCTTATCGACGAGTCGCTCGATTTCGACCCCCTGCTCCACGGGGATCGAGTAAATATTCTTCTTCTTTCGCGACGCTTCCTCGCTTGCTTCGGCCTTCCCTTTCTCCGGCTCCCTTTCCAGTGCACGACGACAAGCCTGTTCTTCCTCTTCGGCCCACAACCTCTCATCCGCATTATCCTCATCGTTCTCACTAACGGGGATAGGCTCTTCTTCCACTGCCTTTTCAGACTCTCTTTCCTTCTGAAGCTGCTCGTTTTGCCGCCGCATCCGGGTCTGCACGGCTACAGTCGGAGCATTCCTCTTTAACACAGGCCTAGGTCGCATTGTGCTTACTATTGGCCCAGTTTGCGATGCTTCTCTCAGAGCAGACATCCCTGCTTGACCAATCGCATCTTCCCTTTTATCACCCCATTCGCCGAAGAGAAAGACATTCGGCAACCCCGACCAGACTTCCTCTATGTCCACGCAAAGTCAGATAATAGAGTCCCGGTATCGGGCAAGCCGTCTCGTGATGGTTTGCGCCTCCTGGTTCCGTCAGCGAGTCGTCAATATGTAATGACGCCATGGCCTCCTCGACCCCGGCCAACCGCGCTTCTTCAGGAGAAGCAATCCGGAACGTCGCCGGCAGCGGACGACCTATTCGGCGAAACGCCTCCTTCCTGATACCCCCTTCAATGTTGGGGTCGATAAGGTTGCCTTCGTAATCAAAGACTTGTCCGCGTATCGTGGTGAAGACAATTTCTTCCTTCTCATCTCTTGAAAGGAGTTGACAAAACCACATAATATGACCCTTCTCTGCACAATAGTTACACGTGGCTTCCTGTTGCCACGCCCAACGGTTTCGCTGTCCGTTCCCACGGCCTCGACCGCGGCCTCGTCCACCCTGCGGCTGGAACTGCCCTTGATCTTGAGAACATTGTCTTGACAGACCACCGCCGACACCGCCATCCCCTCCTCGATTATTTTGTCCACCGTTCTTCCCCTGTTTACGGGAAGTCCCCTGTCTGCCTTGAATTTGATTCAAGACCTTCCTTTCCGCCTTTGTCAACTTGCGAGGCGGCTCCTTTTCCTCCTCGCTCTCACTATCGCTTTCTTCTTCCGCCGGCTCTTTCCCCTTCCTCTTACTATTTTTCTCTTTGGCCAACATGGCTTGAAGCTTCAACCTTTCCTCCTTCATGCCTTCCATCATTTCTCTCATGCAGGTCAAAGTTTTGTAAATTTCACCGTCCTTCACCTCTCCCAGCTTCACCTTTTCCCGTTCCTCCTTTTGCTGCCTCAACAGCCGGTAGAGGATATCGTCGAACTTCCCCACCAGCGCATTTTGTCGGGCCTTAGTCCAGTCATACCTCCCTTGCATCCCTTCAACCAACTTCGACTGTTCGACGTCGTTGAAGTTATCAAGGAAGATAAGGCAACGATCTTTGTCGGACAGATCCGGGATTAGACGAGCCACACGCTCAAACTCTGGTAAGAATTGTTTGGTAGTACCAAACTTCTTACGATCCACTGCCCTCAAATCTCGCAGGTCGAGTAACCGATCGCTGAGCTGGTACTTCTCCAGCAACCGCGCCTTAAAATCTGACCAATTATGGGAGATTCGCACCAGCTCATCGATCTCATCTCGGTACTCCACCTAACAATACCTTTTTACCATGCGAAGCATCTTCTCATCCGTCCATTCGTTACTATACCCCAGTTGCTCAAACTTGTCTGCCCAAGAAGAGGCATGATTCCCATTGAACAGCGGAACATCAATCTTAGGGTAAAGCTCTCGCTGCGACTGCCGGATGACCCATGCCAGTTCTTGAATATCGTTCCTCCCATCGTCGACGTTATCGTGACGTCCTGCAACCCCATCCATCTAGAAACCAAAACATAAACCCATGAAATCAATCTAGGAGTTTTGGTGACATCTGTTAAGGTTCCTTCCTTACACTTATAGAGGCTCAGAGATTACTAACCTTTTGCCTTAAACAACCATTACGGCGCAACCTTTCACTTGCTCCATTCCCGAGTGTCGTTCCACCAGGGACAACGGTAGTTTGCCATCATCCCCGGCAACGGTGCCACCTGTCGAGCGCATCGGCCCCCGCGCGAGCGAGGGCCCTCCCGACCGCGTCACGCAAGAGAAACTTAGTCTTTCAACTTTTTAGGGACAACTCGGGGATGACACGGTGACCCACGTCGACCCTTCGTCGCTCCGGCCGGGTGCGCCAGCTGTACATCCCACGGTCCCCTACGTCAGGATAGGTTCCCGCGGGGCACAACTTACCTTCCCTAAGGGGCTGTCACCACCTTTAGGGGCGTATCCCTACCGAGCTACCGACCCACATGCGAAAACTTTTATAATGCAATTGCAGAGGTAAGTCGGCCGAGGGCGTTTGCTCGTACGCTGTAGCATAGGTATGCATGGTTAAACGCCAAAGTGGACCCGAACGTCGTCCGTCCCTGGGGCGCTGATCTCCCAGGAATCAGACCGACATCGGTCGACTAGGACGCAATATTCCAAGCGTAAGAAAATCTCAATCAATCCTAGTTCCTTCTTTCAAAGACAATCAAGAGTCACTCAGGCAAAGCCTTTCAAAAAAAAAAGACTCAGGTCAATGCAAGTTGACTTATCTTCTTAAATCAACCTATATATAATACAATCATGCATACGACAAAGGTTGACTTGGCTTCAACCAACACCTATCAATAAAAGATCAAAACACGACCAATAC